GCGTGATCTCGGCTTACTGCAACCTCTGCCTCCCGGGTTCAAGTGATTCTCCTGCCTCAGTCTCCCAAGTAGCTGGGACTACAGGTGCGCACCTCCACACCTAGCTAATTTCTGTATTTTTAGTAGAGACGGAGTTTCACCATGTTGGCCAGGATGGTCTCAATCTCTTGACCTCATGATTTGCCTGCCTTGGTCTCCCAAAGTCCTGGAATTACAGGTGGGAGCCACCGTGCCCAGCCAGGATACTTCTTTTATGACTCCATGTACAGGAAATGTCCAGAATAGGCAAATCACTTTAGTGTTGCTCTTGCTACCATTCAAAGACGTCTATTTTCTTGTCTTTGTTTGTTTGTTTGTTTGTTCGTTTGAGATGGAGTCTCACTCTGTCGCCGAGGCTCAAGTGCAGTGGCATGATCTCAGTTCACTGCCATCTCTGCCTCCTGGGTTCAAGAGATTCTCCTACCCCAGCCTCCCAAGCAGCTAGGATTACAGGCACACGCCAGCATGCCTGGCTAATTTTTGTATTTTTAGTAGAGACAAGGTTTCACCATGTTGGCCAGGCTGATCTCAAACTCCTGACCTCAAACAATCCGCCCATCTCGGCCTACCGAAGTGCTGGGATTACAGGTGTGAGCCACTGCGCCTGGCCTGTTTGTCTTTCTGCTGAACTCTTGCACTGATCCCTCATGCTCTCCCCTCTCTACTCCTTCAGCCCTTGTCTGCTATTTCACTATTGCCACCTCCACCACTCCATGGATTCTGTTCTCAATGAGGTTACCAAGGACTTCTCAGTAGCCAGACTTCGCGAATATATTTTATTCCTTATTTTACTTGATCTCTTGGATGCATTCAACACCACTGACCACTTTCTACTTCTTGGAGCAGTTTTTTCCCTTGGTTTCCATGACTCTCCTGGGTCCCATGTTCTCCTGGTTTCTCATTTGTACCTCTATGACTCTTTATCTTATCTTTCTCTTTAAAAAAAAAAATTTAACTTATTTATTTTAGAGACTGGGTCTTGCTCTGTCACCCAGGCCAGAGTGCAGTGGCGTGATCATAGCTCACTGCCACCTCAAACTTCTGGGCTCCAGTGATCCTCCTGCCACAGCCTCCTGAGTAGCTGGGACCACAGGTGCATGCCACCAAGCCTGGCTATTTTTTTTTTTTAATTTTGTAGAGATAGGGTCTTGCTGTGTTACCCAGGCTGGACTCAAACTCCTGGCCTCAAGTGATCCTCCTGCCTCAGCCTCCCAAAGTACTGGGATTACAGGCATAAGCCACTGCATCCGACCTTTGTCTTAACTTTCTCTGGCTCTCTTCTCCCTGTAAGTATCAGTTCCAACAAATTGTCTCTCAGCACTTTTTATGTTCCTATCAGGACAGGACAGGTTATGCTGAAATAAGAAAGCACTCTCAGAGTCTCATGGCTTATAACAGTGATGATTTAATTCTCACCCACACTGCATGTCCATCATGGGTCTCCCAGAAGGCTCTGCTCTCTTTAGTCACTCAGAGATCAAGGCTAATGGAACAGCCACTGTCTTGAACTCTTTAATGAGTTCTACTAAAAATACAAAATTTAGCCAGACGTGGTGTCAGGCACCTGTAATCCCAGCTACTCGGGAGGCTGAGGGAAGAGAATTACAGTCTCACAGCAGCAATTAAATGTTCTGACCTTGTGATGGAAAGAATATAAAGTTACCGGAAAAAAAAAAAAAAAAAAAGCTCTGACCTAGAAATGTACTCACTTCTCTACTCATTACTCATTGGTCAAAACTAATCGCTTAGTCCTACCCAACCACTAAGGAATCAGGAAATGCAATTCCTGCATATATCCCCCATGTATCCAGAAACTGCAGAAGCAGAAATATTTGGTGAACAGCACTAATGACTATTGCATCTTCTCCCTGGGAAATTTCATCCGCACA